TTTTTTTTTTTTTTTTTTTTTTTTTTTTTTTTTTTTTTTTTTTTTTTTTTTTTTTTTTTTTTTTTTTTTTTTTTTTTTTTTTTTTTTTTGCGGGAACTAAAATCCCATGACCTCTTATAGACATTTACCAAGTTTGATGACATTTGGTCGGGTAGTTTTATTTTTATAGCCATTTCAAAATGGAACTTTAATTTTAAAGACCCTGTATATTGAATATTTCGGATTTAGCATTTAATATTTTAATTGTTTATCCATCTCCTTAATTGTTTTGACTTTTAATACTTGGAGTAAATAACTTTTTTAAAATTTTTAGTTAGTATATTTATTACCAAAACTAATTAAGCATCATTGACGATAATAATAGTTTAGCGATTTCTCGCTTTTCTTAATCGGATTCCAATAATATTGCTTTTTGGAAATATATATACATAATACATTAATAGCGTATATTGAAAATTAATTTTAAATATCGGCATAAATTTTTTTTTTTTTCATTTACCAGGAGCATCAAGAGAATTCTCGGTTGTCCACTTTGAGATGATATGGGAAATAAAATAGTGGGGATTCGGTTCAAAATAGTGCCATCAGCCCAACGAGAAATATAGTAGTAAACGTTACAAGATGAATTATAATTTATAAAATAAGCATTAAGTTTCTGAAAAAAAATCATGGTAATGCTATTCAATTATTTCATACATTCTATGCACCAGCATTTTGAAATACTAATCAAATTGTTTCAGTTTTCAGTAAAATTCCTTCGGCAGATAGTACAGACTCTAAACATATAATTTATTTTATAATTTTACAAACGTATTTTGAAATTAACTTTTGAGTCTTATGGATATACTTCACTCTTTTTTAATTGAGTAGCTTTTGATTGGAATAATATGGGTTTGTGTCTTCAAAACTTTTTTGATCCAAGTGATTTCTATTTATATTATCTTAGAATAGAAGCTGAAATTCAAAGTAATATGCATTTAGTTGCAGTTCATAAATTTTGTTATAATTTATAGCTGCTTAATATTTAATTTCTGAATGTAATTCAAAATAGAAGAAAAATTGAAATCACATTTGAAAGAAAATAACCAAGAAATACATACCACAACGTTTCGTGACTAAAAAACCGTAAGATCAAAATCAATTTTCAAGAATTCTCCATAATAAGGATTTCCCCAAACATGTCACTAACTAAAACAGTTTTCTGAAAGCTTCATAAAAACGTTTACTCCACAAAGAAGACACGAAAAAAAAAATAGAGATGCATTTTAAGGTGTTATATTTGTGTTAGATAAGAATATGATATGAAGCAGGATGTTTCATGTTGTAAAAACATATTCAAATATTGATTTAATGCAGGAATATCAAACTCTATTCTTTACAACTTCAACAACAAAATTAGTTATTGATACATCTAGATAACAACAAAGAAACGAAGAGAAAAAAAAAAGAGTAACGGAAAAATAAAGTGAAATATTTACACTGGTAACTGGCACAAAATAAAAAAGATTTCTGAGCACTTAAAAAAAAAAAAATATGGTTCGAGTTTAAATGCAATCTATTGGCATAACTGTAAATATTCTAATTAATTTCTGCAGACGATATTTCAGGGTACGAAATCATTCATAAAAAAATATCTTACTATATAAACATATAAAGAATTTGAATTCTTGATAGACCACCTAGTTCAGTCAGGAAAGCGATAGAAATTTTACACCCTTTAAGATTGTAAATATTACTTTACAACTGACATATGTTTACAATTTTCACACAATTTAAAAAAAATATCTCACTTTATCTAAAAAGTAAAAAAAAAACTTAATGTAAAACATTATTTTAGAAGATTTATTGTTTTTTATTTCAGTTTAACTTAACCATTGTCGAAAAATGAGTCTTACCGAAACTTTTGCTGCACTACTTGGAGAATGCCATGTCTGTTTCAATATTGGTTTTGATGACGACGTCATTGGAAACTGGACGAGCCAAGTAAAAGGAGTATCATTGAACTTACTCTAGCTGTGAAATATTAACCCTTAGTGTTATTGAACCAAAGAATATAGAACCCTCAATATCCTTTGATTAACTATCATGGAAATGTTCACTTATATTTGTGTTAAGTACTGATTCCCTATTTGAATGACAACATTTGAACGAAAGCCGTCAAATAGTTTTTGAGAAATGGAAACTTTAAAAATAACTTTTTCGCAACTTAGAACATTTTCTGCACTTATAAATTAGCATATTTAAGATTAAAATCTTTAAACTTACAAAATTGCAAAATATGAGCAAAACGGATTAAATAGTACTTGAGCAATAGAACTTCATTTCTTAAGAGCTATTCTAAAGATTCCGTTTAAATTTTGGAATTTAAAATTATTTAGTTTAAAATCGTGTATCGTACAATCCAATTATTTCGACTATTATAACCTACTGAAAAATAATAAATACAGTAGGGGACCAATTATCCGGAACGATCGGGCCATCACTATTCCGGATAACTGATTTTTCCGGTTTTCTGAATCGCTACAAAAAGACGTTTTTTTTATTGTTAAACCCACCTAAAAAAAAAAAATNCTGAAGTTGTCCAAGTTGTTCTATAATATTCAGGACAAGGCTTGAGGTACCTCTGCTGAGGGCCTGTAAGGCAGACCTGCAGTCGCTGAAGATGGTGATACCACTAAGCTGCTCCGAAGGTTCAAGATTGATGTACGTTTCGATAGCCGAAGAAATGGCTATCAATTCTGCTGTAAAATTAGATGCGATTTTTCCAGCACCAGTTGCGAACTCTCGTTTTTGATCATCACATGCAAAAAGTGAATCGAACATATAAAGGTCCAACGCTTCGATCACTCTCCTGAATAAAGGATATTTTTCAGAATGTGGGTGCTACATTTTAAAGGACAAATATCTAAATCTGTATTAGAAAAGGTACGTTTATTCACACATTCCCTTTGACTCTTGATAATTGTAGAAACTATGATTTTTATTTAGCAACTTAAAAGCTTTGTTGAAAAATATACATTTCAATTTTTAGTTCATTCCGGGATGTTTTAAGTGTATTTTTTCACATTTCAGAAATAAAACAACAACAAAAAATATTAGACTTAAATAATAAGATATTTATAAGACATAATAAAACTGTCAAAAAAGTTACTTGAATCAAACTTGTTATTTTTCTTATAATTTTTCATCGCAATTAAAATCTGCTACCAATGAAGGTACATCCATTTACATTTTTACAACTACACTAAGTTACAGACAGAAAAAAAAAATCATAATATTTTTTAAGTGATAAAAATGTACTAACCAATATATTGGACGCAGAGTCTCAAGAGGTTAAATCCAATCAATAGAGCAATAGTTATGAAAATGTCAAGATCCAAGTTTTATAAAAAGCATATATAAAAAAATTTGTGAAAACTACAGATAACTGAACTTTAATGCGACTGATTTAAAATGCAAGTCAAAACAAAGTTCCTATTATCCTGTCAAAGTTTACAATTGTTTCTTCAAAAGTGAGCATAGCCTGTGCAAATTCTGTGCTATTTTAATTTTTTTTAAATTTTTGCCGACAGACAGACAAGATATCAACACATTGAACATTGACTTCATTAACTTTACGTTCTCAAAGTTTAATCCAATCAGTGATGAATTGTTTTTCCATTTTAACAGATTATTTGAGATTATTTGAAGGATAAGCGCTCCATTGAGTATAGAGTATCTCTGATCTAAAGCATCACATTAAGAATTATTAATTTCACAACCAAAATACTAAGGAATTTAAAGTATAAAAAAAACAAGTAAATGAAAGTTCAATTAAAAACATTTTATTGCGTTAGAAAACAAAGGTATGCAATGTTCATCATTCCTTACACATGTATAAATTGATTTATACAAAATATATAAAAAAGACAATGCACATGTCATGCGATGAAGATTATACAGTCAGAATAATAAAGCCACCTTTAACACATACCAACAGATGGCCTACTTAGAAATAGAGTTTTTTTCTTCACATTATCAAATATTCAGCTATTTGGTATACAAAGACGGCGCAAAAAAATTACTTAAAAGTATCAATCGAATTTGTAACATTGAAAATTAACCTAAATTTTTTTTTCACATTCCACTGTTTATACATTATAGAGAAATGTTGATGTTTCGTGAATAAATCGTAATATATTTCGGAAAAAATCGTTAAATAAATCGTATTATATTTCGGAAAAAGACATAAAATAAATTGTAAAACATTTCAAGCAAATACTAGCTGTTCGAGTAAAACCTCTATAAACTTATCAACCATTTCTCTAAACTTTTAAACAGTAAAAACATACTAAGTAGAGCATTAATAGATACTAATTATATCAACTTATAATTTTCTTTATGTTTAAAAATATAAACTTAATATTAAAACAAATTTTGACAATTTTTTCATTCAATTTACAATTGTTTTCATAAGAAGCAAATATTTTTTATTTAAATACATAATATATAAATAAATAATTTATAAAACTTATGTACAGCGAAAAATAAACTAAGCACTATAATAATAGATGAACATTTGATATGCAAACATTCAATAACTTTTTGTTTATTTTGTAAAGTTCTAAATTTTGCAGTCAAGAAAGTCAAATTTTTTATACAAACACATTAGGGTTGTTGAAATAAAAAGAGACCTGCAAAATAGTGCCAGAAATACAGTAGCGATAGCAGTGCTACCTTTCATGGTTATAGATTGCAGTACAGCTGATAACTGGTTTATCTTGAATAACCAGTTTGTAAGAAAGCATTTAAAGTGAATGCAAAGTCATGCTAAGATATATATGGGTCCAAAACATAAGAATGAGCATAGGGCAGACATCTATTGTAAAATAGCGTTTATGACAAACAATATCTTAGATAAATGTCACAATATTAGTTCACTCAAAACCAAAAGCAAGCAAATGCCATGATTTCCCATGAATTTATTTCTGCTGTTGATGAAACGATAAGAGGTAATTGGAGAGTTACAACTCAGGACATCGTTGTAGCTTCCGTCACTGAAACACTATACCAGCTAACATTATTCTGTTTTGGTTACATCATTCATAGAAAAGCTGTACATTCACCTTAAATGCTCTCGTGTCTACCACATGTGACCACTTTTCATTTGAGAAACCCTTATAGTATATGTTCAAGCTCTAATATACTAAAGGAAACAAAACAAACCATCTGTCATAATGGGTATAAAAATGTGTACAGATGTATTCTCATATAACGTATAATTTTTATAAAATAATATTTAAATTATAATAATATGTAACAACACTTCAAGTAACATGTAACACAAATTTAAGTATCGCATTCACAGCTAATAGAATATCATTCAGACAAACAGTTTTTCTTTCAAAGACAATTATACTAAAAAGTTATAGACAAAAATGTATCAAAGAAGTTCAACATTTTTAAAATACGGAAACCGATAGGCACCAATGAAACTTTTCAACATTAAAATAAGTAAATAAAGATCTAAGGAAAATATCTAATAAATTTAACTAAGCTTTGGACGTATTAATAAAACCACTCCACTGAGTTCAGATTGCTTCATTGAAAATAAGTACTTTCCCATATGCAAAATGCATCAAAATTGAAAAAATCTGCCAGCAAACTAGTAAATCAGGAAGAAGGAGGTGGGAAAAATTATACAGAAAAACAATAAATAATCAAATAAATGTTACACTTAAAACAATTTGAGAGCATATAAAAAAATATAATATCGTGGATAAATATCTAAGCAAAAAGAGGGGGAAATATTATAGTTGAAGAAAGTTTGTAGAACATTTAAACAATGTTCATTAGTTTACCATTATGAAAATTATGCATAATTTTAAGTTTTATGAATGATCTGAAATTTAAATGTAAGTTATCAAAACATATTGTATATAATTTTATAAAAAAAGAAAATAAAGCGCATAAAAAGCAAAAAATGCAATTTAGAACAATGGATTTTTCATTCATTTACAGTCGGACCTCTATTTAACAAAGTCGATAAATCGAGATAAAAAATTCCTTATATGGGAAATTCATTAAATAGGAAATCATAATTTGTAATACCTAAACAACAAAAAACAGGTTTTAAATTCATAAACACTAGATATAATTAAAATAGCAATTGATGCACCTTTATCTTGTGAATTATTATCCACTATCGAACTGTTTCAAATGATTTTAGCATTTCATCATATGAAGGTTTGATGATTTCTTCATCATTTCTGTATTCCTCTTCCTCACAATTTATTGGCTTATTGTTTTTATTTTTCACACTGTCCAAAATATCCGATTCAGTTAATGTTTCTACGGTTGGAGCTTTAGAATCAATAAAAAAGAAAATCATTAATCACGTACATCATCGTTAATTTCATGGTTCTCTCTTCGCTGTACCCACATTTTTTTAAAAGTTCTTCTAAAGGAATGAGATCCTCGTCCTCCGCACTTTCCAAATTATCCACGCTGACAAAGAATCCAGCTTTAGCAAAACTGTTACGATTAGTACGATCTGTTATATCATAGTTCCATGCTTTAGAAACATCAGTTATGCTTTCTTATAAATTGATTTTTGGCATGAATTCCTGCATGAAATGCGAACAAAAATGGGAAAGGGATCTTACTGCCTTCTCAAAAAGCTAAGTGGCTGTGAAAATTAATTCAAGGTAACTACCCCCATCAATGCATTAACAAGTTTGAAATATTTTGGGATATAGGGAAAGTGGATCTCAAAAAAAAGTTCATTAAATAGAAAATTTACTTCACTATTTGGAAGTTATTTTACGAAGAAATTTCCAAAATGTCTATGGTTCCTCGAAAAAAATCGCAAAATGGAAGTTCGTTAAATAGAAGTCCGACTGTATTTATTTTTTTAAAAATATTTATAGCTATCTATGATAATATGATAAATAACTTTTAAACATATCATACAGATTTCAAGATATTAAAATTTATAAGTAATACTTTTAAAACACTTACAGCTACTTGTTAAACTATAGGTTTTAGTCAATTTTGTTACCCTATATTTTAATTAAAACGTATTAAAGGGTATAAAATAAACTATTAAAAAAACTACTAAAAGATGCAGAAAAGGTGATAAAGTAATGCAACTTAGCAAACTACATAAACTAATGAAAAAAAAAATATTGCAGCAAACAGGCCAATTAACACACTCAAAAATATTTTGTAAAATTTTTTTTTTAAAAAAAAGAGCTACGCAGAGAAACAAACTTTTATGCTAAGTTTCTAAATGTAATTTCCCTTCTCACTAATCCAATCAAAACATGTTTCAACATTACCCAGAGTTGCCAACTGCTACCGGCAAGACAAAATACTTTAAAAACTGGTAGAGAACTGCAATCTAAATTTTGCAGATTTTAGTTAATTTTTCAAACTTTTTAAAACTCTCAACGCAGCTCGAATGCAGGCTAAGTGTCGTATCCTATGAGCCTCTGCATTATTTCGAAGCAGTAGCGAGAGTAAATCCTATAAATCGAGTTTAATACACAAAGAATCATACATTAAAAGACTACCACTCGAAAATATGAATCCGATGTCCGAAGCAAGTTGGCATCTCTGCATCATCCCCTATTGAATCTCAATCATAAAACACTGTGTTGCTCACAGTTGAATAAAGCTCAGAGCTTGCTTGTCAAAAGATTGACGCCAGTAGAAAAAGAAAGTGTTCTTTGCAAGTAAAAAATGGCACCTAAGAGAAGAGGCTGATTACCTAGAATAAAAATGGAAAAAATGCTCCAGGCCTCTGTAATTGACAAAGTCCGTGGCCAGCCACCTGTTTCTTCTTTTTGGGTGTGTGTGGACCAGAAGAGAGATATTGATTCAAATAATACTTTCATCTGCTTCTGTGTTGTGTCCTCGACTGCTCACCCCAGATAATCCATTGACGTCCTTTTCAACATCATCCCTGAAAAATTATTTAAAATAGCATTATCTAAAATTCGCATGATTCCTTTGTTTTCAATCGCACGCTTGAACATCACGATGTGTGATTTTTAAATCGCACAAATATGGATCTCAATATGTATTTTTTAAATCACATTAATACAAATTGAGATGTGCGATTATGAATTCGCACAAATACAGACAACAAAGTTTTATTTTTAAATCAAACAAATGCAAACAAGGTAGAGACGTGCAAAAATTATTACTTAGTTACTTGTTAGACTAAAATGAAGAAGACTAAGAATTCACTCACAGAAACTTTTCATGACAAAAAAAAACAAAGTTTAAAAAAGTATAAAAATTATTATTTTCCTTAAAAAATAAATAAAAAATTATTGTTGATATAAGATTTAAAATGTGATTATAAATTTCATTATGCACACAATTCAATGTTATTATGTCCATAGTTATCATGATAACAAAGTAAGCTATACATAGGTAACAGAAATATTGGTGCATTTTTGTATAAATAATGTATTTAAATTATGGATAAACGTACATTATCCAGGTGAAAGTTTTTAGAAAATTATAAAACTGAGAATTTTGTTACACAGAAGTAATGCACACTAAAGTTTAAAAGGACAATTAGAAAACATTATATAATAGTTATCACAAATCAATATTTGAATTATGGCTTACATGTACAATAAACTAAATTCAACTTAGAAAGATGGTTTGTTTAATTTATCATTCTTACTAACTGCAGTTATTTACCTAAACTGGCAATCTCTATAATTGGGCTCTCCCCTTTAAGAGTCAAACACAGTAAAGCAAAATTTATTTTACCGCAATATTTCTAAAATGTTATATAACAACTTAGCAAAGTTGAGATAAAACCATTTGTGAATTACGGTGTTTGAATTTAAACATTAAAACTACAATTGTATAGAGCAGTGGTTCTAAAAAGGGGTTTTGCAGAACCCTTGATACCATGGAAGGATCACAAGGTTTCCAAGAGGTGAGATTTATTTTCCCCCATCAGTAATGATTTTTTTAAACTTGTACTTACATTTATATCCAATCATAATTCATTTAATATTTCTGCTATTTTTATTAAATTATTCAAGCTTAATTTCAGTAAAAAAGATAGCGTTTCTTCTTTAAAAAAAAATAATAAAATTTAATTGCACTAGTATTTTCCATCAAACTTTTTAATAGGAAAAAATAATTACACAGAACAGTAAAGAAATATGTTTCTTTGCTAACCATTCTCATTGTTTGTAACAACAGTTCTTTTCAATTCAACGAAACTTTTGCAGTGGACTGGTCCAGCAGATCACCGAAGTCAAGCTTCACTGGCAGCGGTTAGTGTGCGGGTGGGTGACAACTTGGATCAGTCTGCGTAGGGACCGAGGGTGTGCGGTATTGGTCCTCGTTAAACTGTTCTACCGTAACGTGCTCGACTTTGCGTGCAGGTCGTTGAGCTACCAAAGCGGGTGCCATCCCCACTGCAGAGGATCAAAATTGTGATGGCATTTTTTCGGATCATCCTCAGGGATGCTTCCCAGACTGTCGGCAATGGGCCATTGTGCAGCTCTATTGCGACGTAAATGAACTTCAACAACAATTCAACGAAAGCTATAATTTAGCTTATTTTATTCATTTTCAGTAAATGTCCAAACCAAATTCCCACTCAACTGCAAATTCAACTAATTTTCAAAAAACTGTTACTGATGACAGAAGAAACTCACATTTAAACAATATTTTCAAAAAGATTAATAGTACAGTTAGTACAACTAATTTTAGTAGTACTAATAGTAGCACAATTAGTACTATAATAAGTAGTACATTTGTTACAGAACTTTATTTATTAAATTGCAATTCCACTAAAAAAAGGTCCATCATTTAGGGAACTGCCGGTATAGAGTGCCAGTTACCTTGTTGCAATAACAAAATCTTCATAATTGAATATTTTTATTAAATATTTAACAAGACATACACAGCTCTTACAAAATTATCTTCCTTATTTATTTAAAATGATTGTATTTGAGGGGAAGTATCATATGAATAAGTTGCACTTGTCTTTAGTGTTTAATTATTTACTCACACACTAAAAAGAAAACACAAATGGTTATTTCATGCTGTTAAGAGTTATAATATACTTAGTTGTGGATAATTATTAGGAATAATGCAGGATGGCTCACATCATGCCTACATGGTAAATTACCTACTGCTAAATGCAGATAATTCCCTACTGAATGAAGAAGTTCTTGATCGAATATCCTCCGTCGTACAGTAGCTGAGGTTACTCGCAACGCTATCACATCGTTGGACAGGGGTCACACTTTGGTTTCTAAGAACGGACAGTTCAAAACTGTCTTCACTGTCAGAACCACTGAAAAAGTTTACAAAAAAAAGTTATTAGAAATAATTTTTGTTTTTAATGATATGAAGTATTAAAAGGTTTTTGCAATGGCTAGTTGACGGTCAAAGGAGTCATGGAGGTAATAGGACCACAAGTTTCATGACAAATAACATGATGGTGGAAATGTGGTCAGTATGATGGTAGTCAATATTAAAAAAAAAAAAAAACAATTTCATTTACTGCATATTTTGAAAGTACATTATCTTGAAAACATACCTCTATCACAAAAACTTGTTTTTAAAGCTGTTGACAAATATTATTTAACTTTTAATTGACCTATTTATTAAATTCATGTTTATTAACATTCAGCAACATTTATAGTGCTTCCTCTTTTAAATAATTTCTGATTTTAGTCCAATTTTTTTTTCAATTCAACTTTTAAATGAAGAATGTGTGCATAAAGTTTGCAATGTCCCAATTATTATTTTAATCACAATTGTCTAAAAGTGATCATGCTAAGGTCAAAGTTCTTACATAATAAAACCCCTAATTTATGATATTGTCAGTAAATGTATAAAAAATCGATTTTGAAAAATTTTTCCAGAAAAAATTTTTGTTTTTCTTCTTTTTTAAATCTTGTAGGTAGATATAACCTTTAAGAAATGTAAGCCATACTAAGATTAATGATAGAAAAATGTTTTTTTGTCAGTGAAATTTGCATAATGAAGCTTTTATTGTTACGGCATATTCCTAAGATTTAACAGTGAGATATTATACAAAGAGGTACATTAATTTAAGTTTTAAAGCAGTAGTCTTTAAAGTCATAAACCAGTTTTACAGACCACAATCTTTTTATTTTTTCTTTAATTCAATAATAGAACTAAAATAATTTTTTTAAATGCAATCAAATAAATTTTTTATATTTTTTAAAACAAGTATATACAATATTAACATCTTGATGAATAAGTTTATACAATATTCATCGATGTTATGTAAGAGAATCATATTAAATATTTTCCTAAAACATAAATAAACTAAAATATGTTTAAAAATCAAACCAATTTTTTGGAGTGTAATTAGAAATGACTAATATTTTTTTTATAAACTGCAATAACTTGATAGCTGCTTTATTGTATAAATTGTCTTTATTTCACAAGATGTTACATTGAATTGTTATAGAAAACTTGAAATTAGGACATTCAGTGAGCTCATCAACAAAATAGAATTCAATTATATCAAATAGCTTTTCGACCCTGTGATTGGATCATCACTAGCACACAAAAGCATTACATCCAAGAAAATAGATATTAACTTATGCACAAAAACTAGACATACTTTCTTATTATTTGAAACATAATTTTTTTATTGTTTTTATTTTTTAAAAAAAGCATTGCTTTATCATCTGTGCAAAAAATGAGAAAAATAACTTTTTTAGTACTTTTATTTCTTCTAAGACTAACACTTAGATTCAATTCTGAATGCTTTAAAAGAGAAAGAGGTTGATTTTTTTCATTTTATCATAAAAGAATTTTATTGAAAATCGTTAAAAAATACTCATCTAAAGAGAATTTTGAGGATTAAATGGATTCATAAAACAATGAAGGAAAAAAAATAATTAGAAGAAATTTCGCAAACCTATCATCAGGAACATCAGTGCCCGAATCAAGATCGTCCTCAAGAGCATTCTGCAGGTCTTGAATTCTTTGGCATGCTAATCTCAGATCATTTTTGGTAACTTGAAGGTCGGTTTCTGTGTTTTCAAGAGCCATTTCCTGAAATAGAAAACCCTTTATTAATGCACTATAAATATTCTTAACTATGCACAGATTCCAAATAACCATTCTTAAAAATAAGAATAGCAGACAATTATAATAAAATCTGATAAGCATATGTTGGTGTATATCTTAACATGGAAATTGGCAATTAAAATTAGTTTAAGTTATGAACACAAGATAAAAATAGAGTGCTTATAAAGGGCAAAAAATTTCTAATTGAAGATTCTAAGAATATGCTTAACGTGCATTCCATTTTTGTCAAAACATATGACAATAAGTTCAACAATAATACGAAGAATATCTCCATCTATTGCATGACGCTTTATGCTTGTTTGAAACTCAGTTTCATTTGCTTCAAACTTCCAACAACTCAACAGTCTCTTTGAATTCCTAACCAATTTTGGAACTGATTTAATTTATTTATTCTTTACTAGCATTGGTGCAGATTGATTTAATAGCAGTGACAACTGGCATTTTTAAACTGTTGCAAACTGCATTAACTTACGTCCCCATACAGTGCACCAAAAAAAAAAACAGACCATCCTGAATAACTTTTGATCTAATGATCAGATCTTCACGTTCCAGTACTAATTCTTAATGGTTTGATGGGGTGACCTCAAATATGCTAATTAATTAGTGCAGACGATATTTTAAGCTGCGAAATCAGATACAAAAACATTATTTCTCTTAGTAAAATGCCTTTCTTTTAATGGACTCAGATTTCTTTTCTGATCCCCCAAAATATTGGGGTACTCGCAATCTGGGAAATATGGACCGTTAGTGCGCAAAATTTTTTCAATTTGCTTAAAAATGTCTCAAGATGTGGCGAAATACGCAAAAGGTATACAATTAACATTAAGGGTCCATATTTTCAAGATTGCGGCTACTCGTATATATATATATATATTGAGAGGAAGAAAAAAAAGAAACCATTTTTTTCTTCGGCAATCAAATATCATTTTACATCAAAACTGATAACTATCAATCAAAACGTTAAATATTTTTTGTGACAGATTTCTTTTTACCATGGTCCAAGTAACATATATACCAAGTTCTATAGACACCCGTTTACTGAAAACAAGATGATAGATTCAATGGGGTAAATAAATTATAGTAATTATAATTTGTTTAAATAAGCGAAGCTAACTGTCTGTCCATTACAAGATAAGCTCCAGGCAGAAGGCATGTTGTATGTCAGTCCAAATGAAACACATTATTAAAGAAGTAAGAAATCGAGGTACATAAATAGCCCTCTTCTAAACACTTACAAAATAGTGGAACAACCAGAGTGGAATGGTTTTCATAGAACTCACCATCAAGAGCATAGCAAGAAAGTTTTCATAGCATGGTCAGTTCAAATTACTAATGCATACATAAAACATTTCTTCAAACTTATTTTATATAGCAATATATAGTTGTTTGCTGAACTCATTAAAGTAAAATATCATTTTTTCGCTTAAATTTATTTCATGGTAAATTTTATTTAAACAACGAGCAGAATTTTGGCTAGAGATCAGATTGAAATGCATCTGAAATTACAATATCAAAATCACTTGTAGAAATTTTAGAGCTTTTGTAAAACAACTAGAGCAAGGACGCTTATGACCTGCTTTGTTAATGACAATCTTGTTATTACTTCAAAAATGTGATGAAAATAAAAACAATAAAATATATACATTTCAAGATAGCTAAAATAGAAATATTTAAAAAAAAATTTCATTTGAAGTTTCTTAATTTTTTTTTTTTTAATATATAAAGATCTATGAGAATATTAATATCTATGCAAGTTTTATTTTTATAAAAATTACTAACATAAGTTTCTGAGATTTTTTTCTTCTTTTATTATAAAAAACAACTAGAGTAAGGAGGCGTATTACTTACTTAGTTACTGATAACTTAGTTAATACTTTGAAAAATGTGAGAAAAATAAAAATATTAAAATGTATGCATTTTCTGACTCATGAAAACTGAATTATGGATTTTTAAGTTTTTTCTTAGTTTCTATTATTTTTATTTTAGAAATATATACATACGTATGAGAATATTAATATCTGTTCAAGTTTTATTTTTATAAAAATTACTTATGGAAATTTTTGAGATTTTGCAATTACACAGGGGACTAATGACATTCCTTATAATTGATAACCATACAGCATGTCTAATGGTTGACACTTACGTTATGTTTGGCAGCCGGTAATGTTAGTAAAGTATTTAAATTAAAATAAGCACATTAAATATAAAAAAAATAGACTGGAATATTTTTCTGAAATTTATTAATTTTAATTACATTAAATTAACATTTTGAAACCTTGACTAAAGAAAAGAGAGAAAAAAAAACGATATTTGTAGCTACAAATTTTTTAATGGAAAGTATTCTTGAATTATTTACTTTTAATACTTAATCAAAAACCTTTTCTACCAAGATTGGAATTATGAGGAGCAGAGAGACATGTCTTAAGTTGAACAGTTTAAGAAATAGTTCTTACTAGCTCATGTTGTTTTCTGTAAGCATCAGCTTCCTTCTGTTGCAGGGCTGCATAATCTTCCCGCAAATCTCTCACTTGCCTTTGAAGACGCCTAACTCCTTCTTGTGCTTGCATCTCCTTGTTCCGCAATGAGTCACATTCTTCTCGTGATCGATCATTTTGCTCTTTCAGTCGAGCAATTTGATTCTGAATTTAGAAAAGAAAAACAAGGTTTATTCCTTTCTTTAAAGAAAAAATACATAGATATTAATTAATATAAGAAAAATTTTACTTCAAGACGAGTTTTGGTAGTCTGTTCTAGTTCTAGTTTTGATTCTAGATCTCTTATTTTGCTGTCCAACCAATGTACTTTGTGTGTATCATCCGACTGGCCAGCAAGATGTTCAAATTTATGGCTAACTTCACTTAGCTATAAAATGATTTTATATTTTTAATACAACAGTCTAAATATAACTAAGATAAATTATAAAAGGCAACAATTTGCACAGTATTTAAAAAAAATGCCTTTGTAAAAAATTTTAAAGGAAAAAAAGGGATATCAATTATTTACACCACTAATATAATGAAATCATAATTTAGAAATTTTTAATCAAAAGTATTAAGAAAAAAATTATACAATTGACGCTTTATAATAAGACTACTATACCAAAATGACGTAAATATTTACTTATGCTAGATTTAGATTAATTTTGACAAATCCATGCTACACTTAAAAAAAAAAAGAAACTTTATAAGATATTTGATAATAATGCAAAACAATAAATATAACATATTGCCAGCAAACATTTTCTTAAAAGAACAAAAATAAAAATTAAATGTTAAGTTAAAACAAATCAAAAACAACAAGAAAGTAATTAGCATATGTTTAAATGGAAAATAGACCATAATTAAGGAATAATTCAATACATTTTATACATATAAAGATTAAAATTTTCAAACAAGAAAAAACATGACTGAGAAATTTATCGAACCTTTTCAGAAGAAAATTACATTCATTTAACTCTTATGAATACAGTAGAATATCTTTATAACGCAAACCTTGGGAATTTTGCATTTTATGTAATTTTGCGCTAAATAGATCTTAACTTAAAACTTACCTACTGAATATTTCAATATTTGTCTGCAATCTTAAAATGCTTTAAAATAAATTTTAGTAACAAATACTTAAATTTAGAAAATATGCACTTCAGTATTCATTATTTACAGAAATTTTTTTTTAATTTTCTGCAGTATTAGAACTAGAGGCAATTAAATTACTCAATTTTGGTTTTCCTAGCTTTCAAAATTTTAACCTCTTAGCAAATAATTAAACAAATAACATAAAAAGTTTATAGTTCTTTCTTAGTGATAGAAATTTCTTAACTGCAAATTTCATTGCTTACACCCACAAAGCTAGTGAGGCTTATGCAGAATTGCGGTTTATAGAATTGTGATATATAGATTTTCTACTGTACGTACTAGACATCATGCCATGCAATATTTTTTTTAAATTAAAATACTGCAAAATAATATCTATATCACTAACTTTTGGACCATAGATCTAAATAAGAATCAAGAGGATCCTGCCACTTGCTTTCTTAAATATATTTAACATTAAATGTGCAGCAACACTATAAGAATAATGTTTAAAATTGTTTCCTTGCTATCAAATGATTGATTATTTTGCAGTATTTTATTTAAAAAAATATTGCATGGCATAGTTTTCAGTACGTACAGTAGAAGATCAATCTAACACAATTCACACACAGTGGACACATTTTCTTTTGAAAATACAGAAATGTTTCAGATGTGAGTTCATTTGAAATGAAAGTAAATTTCAATTATTCAATGGGATATAGAAAACTTGGTTCACATGTTTTAATTGGTTGTAATAAAACATTGGGTCTATGGAGTAGAACATAAATCTTGAGTATCAGAGACTATAATGAAAGAGTCACTGTATTAAAGAGACTAAGCATATTAGGATCATTCGATTAATAAGAGAGCAAGTCTTAGAGTAAACAAAAAAGTTCATTAAGCCTATTACAGGAAGAAAACAGAAAATTAGTCAGATTATATATAAGAACTTAAAATATGCATTATAGATTAATTAATGTGGTAACTTTCATGATTGTCACAGTGATCCTTACTTGGTCTTTTAACATTTGCCTTTCACTCTCTAGTTCTGCAATTTGTTGATTCTGCTCGGCTAATGTCTTCTGATCAATGGACATCTAAAAAAAAAAAAAAGAAAAAAAAAGAGAGAATTGTTAATAAAGAAAATTAAATATATTTTATAATTATTTATATATTTTAATGAAAGTTTTTAAACCGTTTTAAAGTAAATTTGTAAATGAATGAAGCTATATTTTAAAACTTACGATTAACAGAAAATTAAAAAAAAAATAAAACTGAAATTTTAAAATTATAACCTGAGCAACAGCAGCTTTATATTTTTTCATCACTTCAGCCATTTCTTCTTCTGCCTCCTCTAACTGAGTTTGAATAGCACTTTTTTCCCTTGATAATTGCAAACAACGACTTTCAGCCTGAAATAGAATAGTCGAGTATTTAATCATAAAATAGGAAATAAAAGCTTGAAAATGAATTACACAAAAGTTTTGATACCACAAACAGTTTAACAAATTAGATAATAAATAATAGGTTGTTTTTAAAGTTTAAAAACATGATTTAAACTTCAAACTTTGCAATTTTATTGAATTGAAAAGTTTATACAATTAATTTAAAAAGGTCAGGACAATCAATAGAATAATTAAATAAAATTTTTCAATCAAGAATAGATAGTAAAGTTAAGTTAATTTTGTTGAATTTTAAGTGAAATTTTTTGATTTTAAAATTTATTTAATGGTAAATAACCATTGATAACCAAGAATTTATTAAGGAATACATATAATTTCATAAAAGGAAAACAAATAATAGGAGTTAAAGAAAATATTTTGAAAAAATCAAGGATTTTTGCTTTGTGGGAAAATGTTACAATAAAAACAGATATAAATTAGACATTTGAACGTAAAACACAGTGGGAAATAGTTCTGAAATCAGAAACTATAAACTCTATAATAAACTAGTCATTCAGAAGATTATATATACAGCAATAAGATAAATATGAAGTTTCATATTATTAAAATGTAAAAATTTATCTTAATATGAACTTGTAATTTTTTAATAGTAATATAAGTTTAAAAATACACTTAAGATATTTCTGTCTCTATTGCTTCAATAATAAAATCATTTCACTATATCCACTTAAAAAAACTATACATTTTATAAACATTTTGCAATGTAAGTTTTTTAAATATCAATAAGTTTTGCGTAACAAACAAATCACGTAAAAGTAAATCAATAACAATGAATTTACCAAAGAAAATAATAAGAATATTTTTATTTCATTGAGTTTATAAAAACAAAAAAAAGTTATCAATTATTTTTTTAGTCACAAAAAATAGCTGAATTTAGCTAAAAGAAAAAAAAGGGGCTGAAATGAACTTCTTGTCAAAAACTTTGGATAAAATTATTTTCAACAGCAATATCTCTTCAACTTTAAAAACGAAATAAAAAAAAAAATTGAAATATATTTACCTTTAACATTTAATTTTTAAACTTAAATAAATTTTAGGGATACTGAACAGTAAAAATAAGAAATAAAAGTATTGATAGCTATGGTAGAGACATCACTAAAATTGTAAAGGAGGTAAGAACTACCAAATAAGTGAGGAACACATAAGCATATAGTCCCCATGAAATGTGAAATACTTGCGCGCAATATATATGTACACATTTTCTTTTCTTTATGAGTAAACTAAACACATATAAAAATTGAAAATATGGGAATTGGCTTAATTTCTAGAATGCAGTAAAATATTACTTCATTTTTAACACGAGTAACTTCTTCAAGCTGTGATTGGCATTCTTGCAGCTCAGCTTCAATTGCTTGTCGGGCTTTGACGGCTGTGACTTTTGCAAACTCAGAGTCCTCAAGCTGTTAAAAAAACAAATATATTTAGGAAAAAAATCAATATAATTAGCAAGTTATAAATTGAAAATGTAATAAGTATAAATATTTACCAAAAATGAAAAATACTACACTAAAAACATTATACATAACATATTTTTTCATACACATAACAAACATATTTTTTCATACAAAACTAATCTTATAGATTTAACAGGAAAAAATATTTCGTACATACAGTTGATTATTATAACATGATTTTAAACCCAAAAGTTTAGTGTTTGTTTTTTTATATTTATTTTAGAATGTCACTTGGTACTTTTTCTTTTCCACCAAATTCTTAAATATATATTTAGTTCAAGTAAACCTAAACAAAACCAAAAATGACAAATAAACCTAAAAACATACATAAATTATTTAAAAACAAAAACTTCTTATTAGGAAGAAGAAAAAAATTGCTTTCAATACCAGCACTAGATAGTATTACGGTTTTTAATATTAAAAGCATTAAAATTACTTTTAAAATATTTTGTTGATATACTGATATTTTAAGAACGTTACTGACTACAACTAATAAAACTAAAATAATTATTAACTACTATGATGTAGTAACTAAATTATTCATTTTGAGAAGAAGAAAAAAATTAATGATTTTTATGAAAATACCAAAACAAATTTTTTTTACACTATTCATTTATTTCTAAATTCATTTATTTCTTCTATTATAAATTCATTTATTTCTTTCTATTTTACACTATTCTTTTATTCATTTATTTCTAAAATATAGTAGTAGTATTAAGTGAATATCATTTAATGTTTTCATGTGAAATAAAATTAGGGAATAAATAAAATATAAAAAATATTTTAGTAGCTTAATAATGAAATTTCAAAAAAATAAATAAATAAATATCATACAAATGGCAAACCACTGTATAGAGGTTTCTACAATGAATAGTGGGCGTGAGTTACAGAGTTTTAAATAAAGTTGCTATAGCAGCTATGCTAGGTTTTAAAGGAATACAGGAGAAGTTCAACACATATTACATGAAACTAATTACTAATCAATTTCCATGAGAGCATTTTAAGTAAATACAAAATAATGCTAAAGATGACAGTACAGAGTAGAACATTGTGCAGTATTACGATTTTTAGTCATTAAAATGTGAAGCACAATGTGTACATTCATCATTAAAAGGTAAATCATTTATAAAAGGCACTATTTATAGCAAAAGGCTGAAAACAAATGATGAAAAATTTGATGAAGCTTGGACATCAATATGAGTTCTGCTAAGATCCAGGGCAAGCATATACTGTGGTCTCTAATAAATTCATTAATTAAATTAAATTAATAAATTAAATTAATTTTTTTTTCTTTTATTAAATAAATTAATTAAATCTAATAAATTCATTGCACTGTTGGTGCAATGATTAGATGTAATCAAAGAGTTGCAGTTAGTAATTACTTTGCCAGCAACAATCTATCAGCATCAGTTTAGAATATATGATAGCATTAAAAAAGTAAACATATATTGAACTAAGTTACATCATGTTACCTGATTCTTAAGCTGCCTTATCAGAGTTTTACTGGATTGACCTTCCCTGGTGTGTTCTAGCATAGACTGGGCATCCCTCAGAAGTGCTTTTGTACGTTTCAGATCTCTGCGCAGACGCCTCTCGATTTCTGGATCTTGAGGAGGTGGTTGGTCAGCTAGTTCATAGATCCTCCGTTCTAACTCGTGCTTTTGTTTCATCAATTGATGACGCTCGTCTTGTTCTGATTCAAGTTGTGCTTCAAGATTTTTAATCTGAAATAAAACATTTAATCCTTCTTAATGAAATTTTTTTTTATTTAGTGGGAAAATACAGAAGGAAATTATGGAGTAAACAAAGCAATGAAACAAATTGCACTGAAGGAAATAAAGTAAAAAATATTGTATAATTACACATCCACAAACAAACTATACCATGAAATTAATTTCTTTTTTATAATACAACCGAAGGTTAAAAACCATTGACACTTATTTTAAACAAACAAGTTCAATAAACTGCTTTCTAATATCATCATAAATAATAAGTAATTTTACGACCGAAAATTAAATATCCTGTATAAATAGTCGATGTTCTTCTAAAGCAGTCCTGGAAAATACTTATAGAACTTCCTTAAACATTTAAATTTCGCAAAACATTTCGTACAAGTAGATTTTAATAATATGTACAATTAGGTAATATTCATATATGTACTCACAATGTAGTTATACTATTTATTGATTATTATTGATAGTATAATAAAATATAAAATGTGTTGAAGTGTAAAACATTAATTTACATAATAAATATGTCATTAAAGCTTGTATAATAAGACATAATTTTAATATACTGAAGCAATAACTTAATTTGCAACTTTTGTTCCACAAAATATGTTTCCCCAATCTAACCCAAATAAATTTTGGGATATGTTATGCTTCGTTAGTTTTCAGAGTACGTTAAAAACCAAAACTGGATTTTTCAACTAACTTTTGTTCTAGTACAAAAAGCAGAGCATGGTTCAAAGAACATTTTTTGACTTTCTTACAATGGAAGAAGGGCCACTGACTTCACTAATTAATATAGCGTGGATAAAAATAAAAACAGTGTATCTGAAAGCTTTGTATTAGCAAAATATATTAACAGTTTTAATACATAACACCTTCTAAGTTTTAAAAATATTTGTTTCTGAGATGAATTTTGTCCTTCTTCAAAAAAATTAAAAGAATGAGTGAGAACTCTAATCATTGAGAGACTTAAAGAATTTCAATAAAATTTAAGATTGTAAAAAATCACTTTTTTTGAAAAGCTTGCTCTTATTTCTTCAATTTCCTCTTCCCGAACAGAAGCTTCTCGTCTATGCTCTTGACGAACTTTTTCCAAAGACATTTCAAGTCTCAACTTAGCTTGCTCAAGCATTTGAACCTGGGCAGCCAATTCCTCAAGCTCTTCTTCTTGGTCCCTTGCTTTGCGTTCCAGTTCTTGCTTGGTCCGTTTCAATTGGGTTACCTTTTAAAAGATAGATGTAGAAATTAATAAGTTGTAAAGCAAAGGAAGAATTTTTGAAGAAACAGAAACATAACATTTCACAATAAAGAGTTATTAATTAAATGAGTAAAAAAAAATTTTTTTTTAAGCAGTCTTAAATTATTGTTTGAAACTTTTGAAGAAAGACCTTTTACTCAATTTGGAAGGGGGGGGGGAATACAGCATGAATAATTTAGCTATAATACAATCCTACTATAAGAGGAAAATTATTTGAAATTAACTGAAGTAAATTTACCAAAGTTAGCTAACAAGTAGAGGGGCCCAACTGGTGATAGAAAACAAAAATGTATAGCAAAAATTAAATAAAATGTCATAAAAACCTAGGGCATAAAATAACAATGGGAAAAAAATATATATAAATTCTTTAAAGCTTGACAGAGAGCTAGAGTGTTGGAATAATTCCTTTTTTTGTCACGACTTTAATTTACATACCTACTTCTAAATACTTCAAAAGCTTGTATTCACAAGCTTAACTTTCAAAGCCCTTCAACAAAAACCACAAAAACGATGTCTAGGTAAAATAAAGTAGCTACAGGATTACATTAATAACAAATCCCAAACTTAGCATTCCGATCTCCAGGAACAATAATGACTTAGTCGTACAACATGATTGAGAACTAGACACCACGTTAAGATATATGTTTAAAAAAATTAAATTCCACGTTTCGCTGTTCCAGACATCCTTGCCACATGGATCTTAGAAAGAAAACAAAACCAATTAGTTATCACAAGAAGTCTTCAATTTTGATGTACAAAGTTTAAGAGAAATTTGAACATCAAAAGTAAAGGTATTTTGTGACAACTATGTTTCCTTTATTTGTGAGATCATAAAGAAGAAAACCATAAAAAAAATAATAAATTGTGTTTTAATCATTTCTCCTTAGTATCAAAGTATAGTGCACAAAAAAGGACCTCCTTGAATAACTTTAGATCTAATGATCGGATCTTCACAATTTAGGACTCAATCTTAATGGTTTGATGGGGTGACCTCAAATTTGCTAATTAATATGTGCAGATGATGTTTTGAGTGAAATTAGACACAAAAAGCACTTTCTGTGAATAAACAATCCTAAATAAAATTCTTTATAAAATAATGACCAAGAGAGCAGTTCAAAGTTTGAACCCCTTAATGTTAATTTTACTTTTAGCGTATTAGGTCATATTTCAAGAATTTTTTCATTAAATTGAAACATTTTTTCACACAATTCTAAATAAAATTCGCACAATTCCATGCAAAAAAGCAACCTTTAAGAAATATTTATTATTTTTGATTCCTTTATTTAATAATAGTCAAAAAAGTTTTAAATTGAAAGGTATAGAATTGTTTACATTAGTTTTAAGGATGCAATTTTACATGGATAAATACAAAATTTGAGCAAAATCGGACAAATAGTTCCTGGGAAATTGAATTCTAAATAAGATGTACTTTTATAATTTGATATCTCAGAATTTTTCGATCAATTAGGCTCAAATTTTGGTTCCAGTCTTTATTGAGCATCTTTTATAAAATCACGAATTCGCTACTTCGATAACAAAATTTACGCAGCAAAATTTCCATTTTAGAGTAGCTATGAACAGGAAATAGCTGATGGATTAGAGCTGCAATCAAAGCACCCTGAAAAGAAAATTGTGAAAAGAACAAATTATACTTACTTCTTCTTCACCTTTACTGCTTAATGTCAATTCATCTAATTCTCTGTTTAGTTGAGATATTTTTTCATGAAACATATCAGAATCCATTTTCATAGACTAGAAAAAAAATTAATTCCTATTCATTTTTAAATATTTTTACATGTTATTTTAAATTTAAAATAGATATATAAAGAGTTAAACGTTGGCTTTGATTTAATAAAAGTGCAGTAAAAACTAATATAATTATGATATAGTAAAGCCTCAATTTAACAGCTTTCATTAGATTGAACAAAAAAGTCCTAAAGAAAGGGACATCTTTATTTCAAAGATGTGAAACGTCTCATTAAAATTAAACTTAAGTGCAAAAAAATTTAATTATATTTTGTTCAATACCTTAAATAAATCTGAAACTTAAACATAATTTATTTAGTGAAGAAGAAAAATGTTATTTTAATAAAAAAATCCAAACGTTTTGGTTGTTTACCCTTTTTTTTTTTTAAACTTTAACTTTTGAAACCTTATGGGACATATAAGTCCTAAGTAGACCTTTGGGCTAAATAGATCCCATTTTAACATTAGATTAGCACATATTAGTCTTTTGAACTACTCTTTTTCTATTTGGATGTCTGGCAGCATTTGTAAAACAATCCTGGCAGCATAGCTTTGAAGAAATCATATGCTTGTGAAGATTTATGCATTATTTTGGGTGAAAAATACTAAAATAGAACTAAGAAAAAGTGAGTGTCATAATATAAGTATTAATATTCTATGTTGTTTTGAATTCTAATTTGCATGATATTAAAAGTTTATTGTGTGAAAACAATAAAAACTATCTTATCTTTACGACTTGATACGTATATGCACCAGAAGTCTTTTTTTTTTTAAATTGGTCCCTGAAAAAGATGTATGGGACATCAATATCAAATGTTTGAGAGCCTAACTGTAAGAAGTGAGTTTAGATTTTAAAAACTTATTTGTTATATTATCAATGGTAAAAAAACTAATATGCTGCCAAAAGAAAAACTTTCTTCATAAAAAATTTGAGTTCTGTCTTGAAAGGGTTGAAGTACACAATGAGTTTTCCAACATTTCCGAGATATTCATTTTTCTATCATTCATGTCTTTGGAAGAAAATTTTCAGCATCTGCATCATAATGGCTGTCTCATTAAATGAGGATGGTGGATCTGAAAATTCACTTTTTTTCGTCACTACTAGATTTCATAATTTTAGCTACTGAAACTGCTTCGGATTCACAAGCCATCAGATCAATATGGAGCTTAAAGGGATGTTTCATCCAATTTCAAAGTCACTTTTCCTTAATATAGTAACTGCCACCATGTAATTTTGTTATATGGTTTCTTTTGTATGGGTGGTTATTTGATATTATGTGAAAAATATCATTTACAGTTGGGTGGAAGTTTACTTGAAAAGATGGTATTTCAGAGAAATAGTATAAGAGGATGCTCTTAAATAAAGGAATATTTCTTAATTATTGATGTAGGAAATGAGGAGGCACCAAGCCGAAAAGATATTAAAAGCAGGAAATCGTTATTCAAGCATGAGGTTAAATCTGAGTTTAATGAATTTGAAAAAAAAAAAAAAAACTACAAATATCAAAAATATTTTATTTTTCAGTCTGAATACCGTTCTGTTAATTATGAATATAATTATCATTATATGAATTTTTTTTATTTTTAAAAATGCTTAAAGAAAATTTTAATTAATTTGACCCTATATTATAACTTTATAAGCCTTTACTCTGATAGCTTTAACTTAAGAAGGTGAAACAAATTTAATTTTATAAAAATTGAAACTTTTAATCGATACCTGAAGCTCTTGCTCCAAAGTGTACTTTTCACTAATAGCTTGGTCTTTCTCTCTCATCAATTTATCTCTTAATATTCTTTCCTTTTTTATTTCCTCTTGGGCAGAACTTAGCTCTGCATCAAACCTAAATAAAAAAATGACACCACAAAAACCTTAGATGGAAAATAGCAAATGGTCATGATTGAAAAATAAAGAGGTAGATGAGTAACAGTGAAAAGGAGGCTGCCATTCATATAATTGTAATTGAAAAAAGAAATACAAGAGAACTACTTTTTGTAAGATACTGATGATTTTGAAATAAAGGAACATTTTATGAAGGTAAAGTAAAGCTTTTCCGCAACACTGCGCAGAAGAAGGGGTCACGGAGGTTGAAGCTCCACAAATCTGTGACCAAAGACATGATTGCAGCAATGTGGTCAGCACTGCTCACAGATTACCTTCACTTCTCAGACAAGCTGGTACACATCGAATTGAAAATGGTTGAGCTCCAATCCGTCACTGGGGAATAAGTCCCTGTTCTTCTCAATGACAGTTGTCTTAACCACTGAACCATCATATAAAATTTCTTGTAAACTTCATATAAAATTTCTTATAAACTTCGTATAAAATTATTACTTCATATAAAATTTTTATTTTATATTGTTTCAAATTTGAAAGTATATTAACTTAACACAAAATTACAACTGGTAATGCAACGAAAGTTAAATATACACGAATTTTTTATTGAGATAAATATAAGAATTTTTTTTACTTGGCAATTAGTTTTGAATTTTAAAGAAACGAAAAATTTGAACTATGATAAAAGTTTGACTGATAGTAATTAAAAACTTAAATATTGACGTTTCCTATATTTAGGAATGAAATAAAGTTTTATGAAACAGCTTAAATAAAACAGCAATTTAAAAAGTTTAGGTCAGCAATAGTTTTTGTGACAGTATAGACACATTTTAAATTAGATGTCTCATCGTGTGACAATTTTTATGCGACCAAAATACTTATAATACTGTCTGGAGAACCAAATAATCTTACTTCCTCTGTTTCTTTTCAAGTTCTCCATTTCGTCCCATTTGCTCTTCAAGCATTAGTCTTAGATCTTGTAGTTCTGCCCCTAGTTTCTGAGCTTTACGCTTCCATTGATTTGCAACTTGGCGTTCTTCCTCAACATCTTCTAATGCATCAGCCAGCTGTAACAATAACATATTATTATGTATTTGAAATTTAAATAATCAACTAAAAGCATCTATTTGCGGAAGAAAGCAATGTCACAAAAAATCACTCTTTGCATTTTCAGGGTATTGAATAGTATTTATTTTTAAGAATATTCAGGTAATGAGTCTTCTTTTAAAATAATATTTTCAAGGATTTTTTTCTTTTATATGAAAATTCTCAATATCTCTTGTAATCTTATTTTTCGCATTTAAAAAATCTTACTCAAATATACATCCAAATTTCTCTTTTATTTCTCTAAATTTCTCATGTTTTAATATAATTACCATATAAATTTGGGAAAACTTATTTCAAATTCAAATTTGTGTTTAATTACTAAGTAGTGTTTTCCAATTTAGGGGATAAGTTTTTGATTTAGTTCAATTTCCAGTTCTCTCTCATTCTTGACTGATTTAGAATTTTATACTTTATACAATGGAAAGTGTATAAAGACCATTTTGTTGGCATGTATTTATCTAAACAAGATACTCCTAGGAGTCAATATTAAACCCTCTAAACTCTATAAGTATACCATGATTCATTTATACAGAAATCATATTAGTTGTTTTTATCATACAGCTTAAGAAAGAGAACATAAAATGATAACTTAAAATGGAAATATTTAAAATAACTGCATATACCCAATTAATAATAGAACAGGTTAAAAGTAGTTAATGGTACAGATAAAATAAAAATTAATTCCACTTTTGATGCACATTGAAGTTTAGAAGAGTTAAGGCCTGGTTTCTTAGGACAGGACGCCGTCAGCTGGAAATCAGCGCTAACCTCTGATTGGCCCATTTGTGAGTTTGATAGTATACGTCATCGAACGCTCATCTTGAACTACAATTGCCGTCCAACTCAACTGCAGTTGGATTACAACGTGACGTTAACCACAGAAGCAATGGCGGACAACATCCAACAGCACATTGAAATCAGCCAAGATTTTAATTTTGACATTAAACATAGCTTCTTCATTAAACATAGCACTCTTTATTTAGCTCAGCTATAATGTGTTTTTTCTTGGACAAAGTCATTATTTGCTCTCTAAAACACTGGTCGACAAGAACAAAATCAATACAAATTCAAAATAAATATTTGTTTACGTTATTAACGCATGCGCAATGAGAGATAATGTCTGCGTTGGACCGACTGCTCACGCTGAGCTAACAAAAAAGTATTTTTTTGGCGCCAGCTCTACGTCAACTTTCCGCTCACGCCCAGATAAGGCGCTTGTCCTAAGAAACCAGACCTTTACATTTCATTAAAAATACAATGGATACACAGGGCCTGAGCTAAGGATTTAAATTATTAGCCGAATTTCCAAAGTCTTAGCCAACTGTAAATCTTAAAAATTTTTTGATTAATTTTCTCCCCATATAAAAAACAGGTCAATCAAAATACGAATTTAAATCAAGTCATTTTACTGTTGGGGAGGAGTAAATGAGCAATGAATGGGATGAAAAATGTTTCATTGTCTTCGAGGAAAATAAATAAGAATGGGTCAGTTTTTGATAACTTCTTAGACTAGAGTAGTTTAATATAAGGATAAACCTGAAGAAACATTTGATGTTATTTTAGATTCCGACTATCTTTTAAATATATTTCCTTTTAAGTAAAATGTTTCAGTCTTTATTTTTTAATAGAAGAATTCTTACTGGCTCGCTTATTTGTTATTGTTGTGATTGTAATCATTCAGAAAAAAGGATCGCAGTATGAGTTATTTGAATAATTTAATTCCGACTTATGGGTTTTCATACTGCTCACGGAATGCAGGTGGTTACACTATATCTATCATTGAAATGTGGAAAGATATAAAGATAAAATCAAAGTTAAATTTTCAAATTTTAGCAACCATTTTATATTTTAAATTTCACAATAAATTTATTTCAATAAACAATACGTTGCTGTCTTGCAAAAACATATTTTCAGCAAAAATGGATGGTTTATAATATGCATCAGCTTTATTGACACTAACTGTAGAAAAGAGTTTCATTATGCGATATCGCGTGATCCGGCAACGAACGTGTAAATCTTTATTTTACGTTTTCTTTTCATGCTTGCCTAATTTCTTTTGTTGCTTATATTGTCTAGACTTAATATAATTTTAATTAGTTATGTGGCATATCAAAAGGAAATTATTGTAATTAAATGAAAAATACAAGATTTGTCCAGAAAAATTCATTTTGACGGAATTTTCAGGATCAAGGGGTAGAAAAACTCGTCTCCAAAACGCAATTTTTTCCAAAGAACTTACAATTTTATAGCATTTGGCGAGGTGGCGAATACTTAATGTGGGCTACAAAGGGCTATCTAAATATTTAAAAAAGCATATTTTTAGTGAATTTAGACCATACTCCCTTGTTAACCAAAATAATAAAATTAGAATGCATTCCTTATGTTTTCATAATTTTTTTTCATAAAAAAATCATAAATTTTGAAATTTTACAGGGTTGTTTTTATCTCAAAGAATCATAAGAATTGAGAATCATAAATGCGCATTGTAAGGTTTTCTCAAACCGTCGCTCCCAGCCAACAAGAGTGCCAAACTCTAAGATGCTTGCATACCCTCTTTTCAGAAGCTTTCTTCATCATCGCTTTCTGTTCCATTTCTTCTTCTTGTAGCTGTTGCATTCTTCGTTTCATGATTTCCATGTCTCTCACTGCTCTTTCATACTTTTGCTTGTAAATGGAGCTTTTCCCTAAAACACAAGTATTGCAAGTTATAAGCCCATATTTTAAAATGCTATTTTAATTTAGTAAATGTTTGAAACATAAGAAAACTTGAATTGAAAATGATATCAAAATGACACGAAGAGTTAACGAATTTTAAATGTGCATGTTAAGTAGATAGCAAATTTTTATTAAAAATTGGTGAATTTGTGGGGATAGTGAGTATCGCCAATGTCAACCGTCATCTATGAAAAGATACTCTATCATAGAATCGAGATAACACGTCTTATATACTCGTGAATTGGAATTGTATTTTTGTAGTGGTAGATACCCTACAGTACAAGACCAGAATTATATCTGTGATAGAATTCGATGCAAGGATACCGCTAGTTAATTCATTGCTGTTTTGTGAGAAGCCGGGAGAGCTGTATTAAGATCACAGTCGTGGTTGCTCCTGTTCCCCTTAGCAATCGAGTGTATGTCGGCTGACGTTGTGCATGATCGAGACGAGACTGAGGAGCAACAGTGCGAGCAGGTAGACAATGTCGCAGTCACAAGTAGCAGGTCAACTGTTCAATGTGGACCATTCAACGAAGTAGACGTTTCCAGATTGAAGTGGGCATTATTGTAAAGACATGCGTGTTCATATCGAAGTAGGAGTTTCTGTCAAGGTAGGAGTGTTCACATCATGTCCGAAGGTCATCAATGTGGGGAAAGTTGATTGTCAACTGTCATCTATGAAAAGATACTCTATCATAGAATCGAGATAACACGTCTTATATACTCGTGAATTGGAATTGTATTTTTGTAGTGGTAGACACCCTACAAGTTCTTTTTTGTTATTTTGTCTATGTCTCATTTTAACATGAATCAGTTCATCCTCATTCAAATTATTTCTTATCCCCTTATCAAATTAATCACTTTAATACCAAGCCTTTATTCAGTAGCAATAACGGAAGCAAACATAACTGAAAGAAAAGATTCAGGATTACTACAACTAGGCAAAACTTAAATACCATCAGTTTCATCTTCATCTGAGAGATCACCATTGATTTCCGGAGATCTAAACATCCTATTTTCCATCATCTCCATTTCCATTTTATCAGAGCGTTGTTGAACTTGACTGTAGCGATTCTGAAATCATAAATAAATAAATAAATTTTGATGCAAGTTAAAAAAAAAAAAAAACAGAAGAAGAAACATACAATTATAAAGAGGAAAAAAGTCAATGGTAAGAATTAAATAAACAAAATGTAGTATTTACTTATTCGTATTTGATTTATAAATAAAATGTATTGGGTGTACAAATTAGTTCGGCCCGTTTTTTTTTTTTTGTTGAAAATTAATTTATTTTTGTACAAAATGAATGAACAGATTAATCAAAGTATTGTCCATTGCTGGCTACTACTTTTTCCTGCCACTCAGGAAATTTTCGAATTCCATCTCGAAAAAATGTCTCGTCTTTAGAGGCGATCCAAGTAACGGGCCAATTTTCGATTTCTGCGAATAAAGTGAACCGGGGACCTGCCAAATCATGCTGCATCCTGCGTCAGAACAACCTTTAATCATAAGGAGCAATGTCCGGTGAATACGGCGGTGCGGTGAAATATGCCACTTGAGCGCTTCCAAATAATTTTTTACAACTTTTGAGACATGTCCGACTGTTATCATGCAAAAGAATAACTTTGTCATGTCTTTGCTCGTATTCTGGCCGTTTTTCTCGTAATGCACGACTCAAACGAATCAATTGTAGCCTATACCGATCGCCCGTAATGGAATCGCCAGGTTGAAGCAGCTCATAGTATACAGCACCATTCACCATTTTTTTTCACCATTCAGCATTCTTCTTTCACTATTCACCATTCTTCAAACGTCGAAACCATTCCCTACATGATTTATCAAATGGAGCATTGTCACCATAAACTTCTACAAGCAATCGATGCGCTTCAGCTGCACTTTTCTTCCAATTAAAGCAGAAGCATAAAACCTCCCGCAAATGGTGCTTCGTAACCACAAAATTTGACATATTCAACAAAGTAAAAATCAGGGATTTTGTATGAAACTCAAAGCGATATAAACTGAATATTATTGACAGATGTCTAACTTCTCTGAAACCACCGAAACCAGCTGTCACCATGAAACATTCATAACAACCAGGCCATCTTTTGAAAATGGACCGAACTAATTTGTACTCCCAATATATTCAAAAATTTACAGAGAACCTAAAGGAACTCATGTTTGAATGAAGAAGATAAACTGAACTGAAGAAGTGAGTAGAATAATGAAATTGTGAATTTTAAATTAATAAATATCAAACAATAGCTCAATTAATGAAACCTAAATCGAGTTAGAGGTTTATTTAGAATATGAAAGAAAATTAAAAAAATCGATGCAGGAGGATAAATAATAGGAGGCAGAAATGCTCTTGAGATGGCTTTCCAACTCCATCTTGGATTTTAGGTTTAATTTTTGATTTTCCTTTTTTTTGCGGGTGTGAGGTCCTTAATAAACTTTAGATGATAGACTATCATTTGACAGCATTATACTTTTCTAAAAAGGTACACAGGAAAAAAAAGAAGAAAAAAAAAACGTAACTTTCTTAAATAAGAAGAAATAACGCTTAATAGTTCTTAGCAGTTCTACTGATTTTTCACAAAAATGTAAAGTAATAAAATTATGACAATTTTATTAGTCTTGGCATAAGGGGCCGAGTGCCATTTAACCTCTAAATCGATTCAGGTTTCTTTAAAAGCATGCTTGAATACAGTTTAAATGACAATGCGAGACGGCTTTGCCTGCACACAGAAGTACTTTGTTTTCAAGAGATTACTACTACGAGGGTTGCTATTTATATTTCTGGCCTTGGCAACAGTAAGTGTTGCTAGGCGACCGCAGACGATTTTAATCGAAAGTTTAATATTTTTAAACATAAATTCAGCAGACGATTTACCATTATAGCTTCATTTGTGTTGTTGANTTGGAAACAGAAGAGGAAACATAGAATTATAAAGGGGAAAAAAAGACAATGGTAAGAATTAAATAAACAAAATTTATTTACTTATTCGTACTTGATTTATAAATAAAATGCATTGGGTGTACAAATTTGCTCGGTCCGTTTTTTGTGTGGTCAAAAATGCATTTATTTTTGAACAAAATGAATGAACAGATTAATCAAAATATTGTTCATCGCTGGCTACTACTTTTTCCTGCCTCTCAGGCAATTTTCGAATTCCATTTATAAAAAAAATGTCTTGTTTTTTGAGGCGATCCAAGTTAGGGGCCAATTTTTGATTTCTGCGAATAAAGTGAACCGGTGACCTGCCAAATCGTGCCGCATCCGTCAGAACAACCTTTAATCAGAAGGAGCAATGTCCGGTGAATACGGTGGGTGCGGTGAAATATGCCACTTCAGCGTTTCCAAATAATTTTTTACAACTTTTGAGACATGAGGTCGACCGTTATCATGCAGAAGAATAACTTTGTCATGTCTTTGCTCGTATTCTGGCCGTTGTTCTCGTAATGCATGACTCAAACGAATCAATTGTAGCCTATACCGATTGCCCGTAATGGAATCGTCAGGTTGTAGCAGCTCATAGTACACAACACCATTCACCATTCTTCTTTCACTATTCATCATTCTTCAAACGTCGAAACCATTCCCTATATGATTTATCAGTTGGATCATTGTCACCATAAACTTCTACAAGCATTTGATGCTCTTCAGCTGCACTTTTCTTAAAATTAAAGCAGAAACATTAAACCTCCCGCAAATGGTGCCTAGTTACCACAAAATTTGACAGATTCAACAAAGTAAAAAACATGGTTTTTGTATGAAACTCAAAGCGATATAAACTGAATATTATTGAAAGATGTCTAACTTCTCTGAAACCACGGAAACCAACTGTCACTATGAAACATTCAAAACAGCCAGAGCCATCTTTTGAAAACGGACCGAACTAATTTGTGCTCCCAATATATTCAAAAATTTGCAGAGAACCTAAAGGAACTCATGTTTGAATGAAGAAGATAAACTGAACTGAAGAAGTGAGTAGAATAATGAAATTGTGAATTTTACTATCAATAAATGTCTAACAATAGCTCAATTAAAGAAACATAAATCCAGTTAGAAGTTAGGTTTAATTTTTTAAATTTTCCTTTTTTGTGTGTGTGTGAGTCCTTAATAAACTTTAGATGATAGACTATCATTTGACAGCATTATACTTTTCTAAAAAGGTACAAAAAAAAAAAAAAACGTAACTTTCTTAAATAAGAAGAAATAACGCTTAATAGTTCTTAGCAGTTCTACGGATTTTTCACAAAAATGTAAAGTAATAAAATTATGACAATTTTATTAGTCTTGGCATAAGGGATAGAGTGGCCATTTAACCTCTAAATCGATTTAGGTTTCTTTAAAAGCATGCTTGAATACAGTTTAAATGACACTGCGAGGCGGCTTTGCGCACAGAAGTACTTTGTTTTCAATTTTAATTATTTTTAAGAGATTCTAAATGATATCAAAGTTCAAAGGTTTTTTATTCGTATAATATTTAACAAACGTTTTCTTTTGTTAGGATTTAAAAGTTTTGATAAGAAGGAATTAAGACGGGCACCAACCTGAAATTATTGCAGAAATGGAAAATAAACTAACATAAAATATAGCCGAAAGCAATTACTTTGAGGGTTTAGCCTGAAACTTAAATCCCAGGTTGGCATTTCTATAGATATCAATACGTTTTTAGTCCTTCATCTTGACTTTCGTTTATTATAAAACGAATTTGATTAGATTTTTTTTTTTCATTGTAAAGCAATTTGTATGATTTTATTTATTTACATAATAGTTGGTGTTTTTGAGGTTGGCGACTTTTTCGGATATTACAAGTATTAGACACATAAACATACAACTAATAATCCAAAGCACACTAAAAATCGCAATCATTATATCAAATTAAATATCCAACATAACGTTCTTACAGGCTTCTCTAGTAGAGTTAAATTTGTAGAGAATCTCTACAAATTTAAAATGTTTATCTGCAGTGATGTGAACGTTTTCAAAGTAAACCTTTTTTTTCCCCCATACCTATCAATTTTGTGGGCAAAGGTGCTGTAAAATTAGTGTGTATAAGAAAAGTTGACTATTTATAGCATATCTATTATTAAAATCATGTCATTTAAGATTTACCTGAATCACATATTTCCTGATAAAATGGCAAATATTACATAATATCAAATTTTTTTTTTTTAAATTTTCGTCCACTACGCATAATTTAAGATTATTGAAACACTTCTAAAAGCGCATTGCATAAACAATTAATAGCATTTTTTCCACATACCTTTCAAAATACTTATTTTCAAAACGTATCCATGAGTCACGAAATTATCTGTGTTTATTTAATGTGTTACCCTAGCATAGACAAACACTCCATAGACCACTTCTCAACGTGAAATTATTATTATTATATTGAACAATTACACAATTCTGTAAACAATATAATTTATTATATTGTTTACAGAAATATGCTATTAACTTCAAGTGAAACTCCTTTTTGTTTAAATAGAAAGCAGCAAGCTAGCAAACTTCAATTTGTTTTTTAATCATCCGTTACGTAGTGCTTATCTTACGGACTCTACTTTTTTTTTGGGGGGGGGGGAGTTAATGTGCGAATCGGAGGTCAGGAGCGGTATAGTAAACAGAGATGATGATTTTATTGTCGTCTAACATATGTGCACCTAATTCGAAGTGAATCAGTCGGAAAATGCAGATTTGCGTTAGGAAGATAGAAACATTTTATTTTACTAAATATTATCACGTAGATAAGTGAGGAATAATTAAAGGCGAAAGAATGTTAATCTCAACATGAGATTTTATTCAACTGAGCTGAATGTTACATGAGCTTATATAAAATTTTTGAACTTTCTTGAAGAGAGCATTTCAGAAATTGAATAATTAACGATTCGAACTCCCAACCTCTGGCTCCATAACCTGATGCTTTACCCAGGGCTAAAGAGAATTCTCTATTCTCTTTAGCCCTGTGCTTTACCACGGACTCATCGACTCCACAAGAAATGACAAGTTTTGTTAAAATATGTTTTTACTCTCTGCTTGCTTCGCTCACCAAATCCTACTGCGGACGGAAACACCTGCATTTCTAAATTTCTTCCAGT